GAGGGAAATGAGGGGAAGCAGGGGAGTAAATGAGGAGAAGCAGGGTGGAAAATGAGGGCAAGCAGGAGGGATAATGAGGAAAAGCAGAGCTCGAAATGAGGGGAAGGAGGGGGAAAAAATGAGGGGAAGGAGGGGGGGAAATGAGGGGAAGGAGGGGGGGAAATTAGGGGAAGCAGAGGGGGAAACAATGAGAGCAGACGAGGAAACGAGGGGAAGCAGCGGGGTAAATGAGGGGAACGAGGAGAAAGGGAAGCAAAGGGAGGAATGAAGGGAAGTAGAGCAGGAAACGAGGGGAAGCAGTAGGGTAAAAACTAGGGAAATCAGGGGGGAAATAGGGGAAGCAGAGGGGAAAATGAGAGGAAGCAGGGGAGTAAATGAGGGGAAGCAGAGGGAAGAATGAGGGGAAGCAGGCGGAGAAATGAGGGGAAGTAGGGGAGGGGAAGGAGAGGGGGGAATGAGGGGAAGCAGACGGGGAATGAGGGGAAGCATAGGCAAAAATAAGGGGAAGGTAACACGTGGGAATGAAAGTGCAGGGAAGCGAGGGCAAGGGATGGGCAGGTGGGAGGAGGGCAGCGGGAGTGGAGGCGTGAGGAGGGGCAGCGCGACGAGGGTGCAGGTGCACTGAAGGCAGGGGATGCGTGGCGAGGTGAGCGAGGCGCGGGGAGGCGAGCGGAGGCGCTGCGAGGCTAGCGGAGGCGCTGCGAGGCTAGCGGAGGCGGGGCGAGGCTATCGGAGGTGCGGCGAGGCTAGCGGAGACGCGGCGAGGCGATCGGAGGCGCGGCGCCGCGAGCAGAGGCGCTGTGAGGCAAGCGGAGGCGCGGCGAGGCGAGCGGAGGAGCGGCGAGGCTTTCGGAGGCGCGGCGAGGCTAGCGGAGGCGCGGCGGGGCGAGCGGCAGCGCGACTAACGGAGGCTCCCAGGAACTGAGGGTCGGCGTGACGATGGGACAGGAGGCGCGGCGAGGTGAGGCGCGACGACGGGAGGCGAGGCAATGGGAAGCGCGACGAGGGGAAGAGCTCGATGAGGAAGGGGAGGCTAGACTTGTAGAGCGGCTACGTATTCTACTCTTTGATGCGCTGTCGAGATGCTTTTTCTTCGTATATTGTTTCTAGCCCGAAATTAGTGAGGTTGGGCTTACACACTCCATGGTTTCTCCTCATTCGGTTGGGTTGGTTTGTCGCACGCTCCAACTGATGTTGAGTGACGACTGCACAATCTCCTCGTTGCTCATTTCGCTTTCGCCACGCCCATCTTCCCGAAGTGAACCTTTTTTTCATTTTGCCAATACGGTTAAAGCCCTTTAATAGTTTTGGCAAAAACCATGCTGACCTCGGGCTTTAAAGTGGCAGTCTACATTCATCGGGGTATTTTGGGGGGTTATTTAAAGCCCGAGGTCAGCATGGTAATCTTTCAAGTTATGTGAGGTTGAAATAGTGTTGGCGAAACCTTGGAAACAAAAATTTCGGCAGTTAGTGTAGCGAGAAAGACAGCGAGTGACAAAGGGGAAAGGGGTCTCGCCAAACGTGACGTGATGGTGAACGATGATGTGCAGCTTGCCAAACTTGCAGAACAAAGAACTGCGACTGGAAGGAGTGTCGCAAGGATTTTTGCTCAGCCAATCAGGTTCAAGTTGGGGAGAACGTCCACACACCATGCAACTACACCTCTCCCTCGACAGTTTCAACACCCGCGCTGCGGGGGGACCTGTTTGTCGTTTTAGGGCTTGTTGAAATTGGAGGGAACCAAGCAGTTCCCTCCAATTTCAACACCTCGCCCCGTGATATTTACAGGCTGAGTCAGAGTTGTAAATGCCCCGCTGACTAGGATTCACGCGGGCATTTCTCGAGGGGCTTGGAATCACTCGTACAAGCCCCTTGCGATTGTGTGATTTCGTATAGAGGGATATTTTTTGCGTGTCAAAAACTACAAAAATCTCAGAAACCAAAACAACAAAAATAACCATTCTAATGTAAATATAAATTGTCATTAAGGTTTCACATTGAAAGCATTCCTGAAAATACGAATTACCGTATCAAACGCAGCAAGCAGCACGAATCCACACACGATCCTCAGAAATCACACCATGACGTCGGCGCAAGGGTTCATGCTCAAACAAAGGCCCCAAGATCCTTGCCATTCGCGAGTTTGTCATCATCTCCTCCAACACGCGCAATGCCCACGCACGCAAAGACGTGTCACTAGACTGCTCAGGGGGGGGAGCATCGTTCAGATCAAATGGTTCCCCACATCCATGGGGGAATGGTAACCAACGGCCAACACGTGCCCTCCTTGGCTCGTTCTCCCAAGACCCATGCGTGTGAAGCAAGTTGTCGCACGCAATGAATTGGCAGGCTGTCATAGACGTGTCATCGATGTTTAGCTTCCCAATGAGCTTGGCTAATGAAGTCACATCATCGTTGGAAGGGTCGATGAAAGGTCCCTCAAATATACTTGCAAGGCCCCACTCCTCCAACCACGTATACAGTATAATTCCGGCCCTCCGCCAACAACGACGCACGATATCAAACTCAAAACTTTGCCATGCACCACTAATCCACGTGATCGCCGTACGCAAGTCCGTGCGAAGGTCCTTCTTAGTGGTTGGTATGTCACGCCCTTCACCGACATCGATTTCCACCTCCTCACCTTCACGCCCCGCATCCGCCTCTATGGTGCCCGCTTTGTCATACTTCTCTAACAACCACTCCACAAACATCTTTCGATATCTCAACTTGAGTGTCGAGATAACACCTTGGTCTAGTGGTTGGACGTGGGACGTACAACTGGGAGGCATGTATAGAACGCGGACGTTACCAACGTCTACATACTTCATTCCGTAGGTGAACCCCTCGATGGCAAAGTCAAGGTTGACGATGTTGTGGGAGGACTTGTTGTCCACGAGCAAGATCACCTTCTGATCCGAATTATTCATCTCGGCTTCAAATGTGTCAACCCATTGTGTGAATATCTATGATGGGGTGCGACGGAAATGGAAGAAAAGCATCACAAATAAGCCATGCCACTCTCGTTTCAATGGCATAGTGACAAAAACATAATGGCATAACGACACGTTGCCTTACACATCAATCATTACCTCACTAGTCATCCAAGCTTTCTTGTTTGCTCGGTACCAAACGAAGTCACGCAAAGTCCTAGCGTAAACCTCTCCTTGTCCAACTTTCCACCGGACACAGGCTCAGTGGCGCACATATGACGTGGCAGCTGCCCTTGTAATAACCCTGTCTCATCAAGGTTGTACACGTCCCGTGCCTCGTACTCTTTGAGAATTTTGGGGAGATTTTCTCTCGCTATGGCTATGGCCTCCTTGTTAGCATCTAACGCCTCCCCCTTGCGTATGTATGACGTCATGCCCATACGCGCCAATGCCCTGCACAACCACCCATTGCTACATGCAAATTCTTTAGGCATTCTCATTTGCTTCGCTAGCTCCTGTGCCTTTGCTTGAAGGATAAGGAACGTGATTGGCATATTGGTGGTGTTCTGTTTAATCGCCCATTTGCGAAGCCTAGACTCTAGGAGGGGATAGTAGCCTGATGTACGCCTCTTACGGGTGTCTAAGAGAAGGGTGGGCTTTAGCCATGCTCTGCCTATTTTCAATATCTTGGAAACGGTGGTTTTACATGGCGTTTTCTGGAAATTCACATCCAGCCATTTCACGAGTTGCTTCAGAGTAAGGTCTGGGTTAGCAATGTGGTACAAGACTGGCGCCCATTTTTTGCCGAGAGTAAGGGCCGTGTTTCTACGCTTAGTAGGCATAATTACATATTAACTAGAGGTCTAGGAGCTCAAAGGCCGTTCTGAATGTCGAATGTGTTCAGTGTGATGGAATTGTGTGTCTACGTCAGTTGGTTCTCTGTGAATGTGCTAGTGTGGTTCAGAGGAGGGATTCCGAAGTGGTCGAAATTGCATTCAAGGGGCTGTAAATGGTTTCGAGTTGCTTGAAGGTGGTGTAAAGACCGCTAATTTGATGCCACGTCGACTTATTACCCCTCGGAAATTGGATTTTGCGTGATTTCAAACCACCTGGAAAATCGTGCTCGGTACATTTCTCAAGCCCAACTTCTGCTTGGCTGGCTGACGCGTCAGCCCGTTAGGGTGTGAAGTGCGTTAGTCACACTGTGCAACTGACGCGTCATACACCCCCCCTTTTCGAGGCGCCTTCAACCTGAAGCCCCGCGCGAGGACAGAAGGGTTGAAATTGCCAGGGATTGAAGTAGGCGGGGGACAGGTGTACGAAAACGGGAAGCGCCGTATACTTTCGAATGAGTGAGCTAACTACTCACTATCGAAATGACCGCAGGAAATAACAACAATAGAACGTGCAAATGTAATTGACGTCTTAGAACGAGCTTGCTTGGAAGGGACGTATAGAAGAGCGCGACATCGCTCGCTGCCGCGGTACCGGCGATAGGCATTAGCAAATAGAAAGTCTAACACGGATTGAGGAGGCTTTCATAGTTGACGTCACTTATTGTGCTTGTAACGGATTTGCGTAAGAGTGTAAGTCGGAAGTATTCTCTTCCCCTATGAACTGCGCAGATTTTGTCGCACGGGAGCAAGTCACTGCGACAATACATCGTGCGACTCGCTAATGCTGTCAGCGAGTTTGTTATCCACTCGCATCAATCACTTACTGCTGTGCAGCATACAGCCTTCGCGGACGACGAGCGAGAAGGTTGAATGGGGGCGGCAGGTCGACACAGGGACTGCGGAAGGCGGAGAGGGAGGGGAGAGGCGGAGCACAGACTGCGTCGGCGGGGTAAAATCGGTTATGATCGCGACGGGAGAGCAGTCCGCTGGCGCAACTTGCGGCAGACGCAACGCCGGACGACCAAGGAGAGGAGGAGCAGATACTGGGGGTGGAAGGGGGAAAGGGGGGGAAAGAAAATCTGGGCTTGGCCCGCTCCTCATCGCGCTGAGGCGTCCGCTACTCACGGACAGAGCAGAATAAGGCGCGGAGGGGGATAACGCGCGGTAGGGGATGGTGAGCGGAAGGGGATGAGGCACGGAAAGGATGACGCGCAGAAGGAGATGAGGAGCGAATCAGGCGCGAAAGGCCCTGATTCCCCTCCTTTCCCCAGTTCATTCCCCTCCTTTCCCCCCCTGATTCCCCTCCTTTCCCCCCCTGCTTCCCCTCCCCCTCCTTGCTTTCCCCTCCTTTTCCCCCCTTATTCCCTTCCTTTCCTCCCTTCTTTTGCTTCCTTTCCCCCTTTGCTTCCCCTTCTTTCCCACCCTGCTTCCCCTGCTTTCTCCCCCTGGCTCCCCTCTTTCTTCCCTCTCCTTTCCTTCATTTTCCTTTGTTGTTTGTTCCTGTTCCTCTCTTCCCTTCCCTCTCCTCCCTCGTCCAATCTCCTCCCCTCCCTCTCCCATCTTCCCTAACCCCCCGAATCCTTCTCTCCCCTTTTCTCCTCCACCCCCTCTTCCTATCTCCTCCTCCTCTTCCCCCTCTCCTATCCCCTCGTTTACCCCCCTGCTTGCCCCTTGATTCTCCCATGCTAGCCCCTGTTCCCTCTCTGCTAGCCCCTTGTTTCCCCCTGCTAGCCCCCTCTTCCTTCCCTTCTAGCCCCTTGTTCCCGCCCTCGTCCAATCTCCTCACTTGCTCCCTTCCTCTCTTGCGCACTTCCCCCCTTCCTCTCTGTCCCCCCTTTCCTCCTTTTCTTCCCCTAATTTTCGCCCCTGCTTCCCCCTCATTTCCTCTTGTGCTTCCCCTCATCCCCCCCCCCCCGCTTCCCCTCATTCTCCCCCCTGCTGTCCATTATGGTCCCCCCTTGCGGGGGTTGTAATGGAGGCAGCAGCCTTTGCCGACCCATGACAGTGGTGCGCTAGAACGGGCTTCCCGTGGCTGGCATGCAAAAATGGTAGGGTAATAGCGTGTTTGGCAAGAAGCGGGTGTTGCTCAGCTATTGGCTTGACAACAAGAATGACGAGAGCTGGAAGGAAAAAAAAACTTCTACCTAAACTAGCTGTTATCGCCCTGCCGCGCGTTTCCTAGTTACGTGCCTACTCTAGTGGATTAGGAGCACTACTTGGTCGTCAAGTTATGTGAGAAGTGACCACGGCAAACTGGTGGGCGATGTTCGGATCTGTTGTGCGACCGGGAACAGAAACCAATCGGAAATGACCGTCGCATGAAGTTTTCCCTAGGTCGCGAGAGTTCTTTCAAACAAAAAAAGGTAACCCTGTTTTTGGCGACTTCAAGTTCAAGAATCTTGAACTTGAAAAATACCATGCTGTACTCGGGCTTTAAGATGCACACCCAACGAAGCAAGCTGATTTGCTTACGAAAGACCCTCTTCCAGAATCCGCAGGTGCGAGGGAGCAAAACAGAATTGGCGAAATCTGCCAATTTCGTGGGGATTTTCGGTTGGGAATCAACCCTGCGCAACTCCGCGATCATTTCGTGAGGTTGGGTTGGGGAGGGGATCGGCAAAATGGTTACGAATAGTAAAAGTTGAAACATTACTGTGCACTCCTTACGGCAGCAATCGAAACATGCACTACCGAGGCTGAAGACGAAAAGGCGGAAGTGACGCGAATGGTCGCACGGTTACGAAAGCATCGGGATCGTTGGGCAGTTAGCATCAGGCAGCGGCAGTTGTCAAACTACAATCTTACTTGTAGGCTATAGTGGGGCACTCCTTATGGGGTACAACACTTCTAGGGTTAGTACTTGTACCCCAACTCTTGTTAATCCAATCATTCTTGCATAGTTATTCTGACATGGTATTCAGAGCAGGAAAACTGTGAAGTTTTTAGGGCCCACCAATCTTTTTGCTAAGTTCCTGCCCGAAGCGCCCTTGCGCTCTGTGGCCCTCTCGCACAGAGTCACGCTGCCCTGCAGCTACTCGCACTGCCTGCCCTAACACACTCCCTACTGTCACGCGCGCCCCTGCTGCCTGCGAGCAGCCCCTGCCCTATGCGCCACTGCTGCCTGCTAGCAACCCCTACCCCGCGCGCCACTGCTGCTTGCGAGCAGCCCCTGCCCCGCGCGCCATTGCTGCCTGCGAGCAGCCCCTGCCCCGCGCCACACTGCTACCTGTGAGCAGCCCCTACCCCGAGCGCTCCTTCTGTCCGCTAGCAGCTCCTACCCCAGCGTGCCCCGTCTGCAGGGTCGCGTCTGCAGGGTTCGCGCCCTACTGCCCTGCGCGTCGCGCCCTGCTGCAGCCCGCGCGTCGCGCTCTGCTGCTCCGCGCGTCACGCCCTACTGCAGCCCGCACGTCGCGCCCTGCTGCAGCCCACGCGTTGCGCTCGGCTGCTCCGCGCGTTGCACCCTACTGCAGCCCTCGCATCGCGCTCTGCTGCCCCGCGCGTCGCGCCCTGCTGCAGCCCACGCGTCGCGCCCTGCTGCCCTGCACAGCGCGCGCCCTGCTTCCCGCGTTGCCCAGGCCGAGCCGCGCCGCCCAGCCCGAGCCGCCCTGCCCAACCCAAGCCGCCCTGCTGCTGCTGGTGGGGGTGCTGCTGGGGGTGCTGCTGGGGGTGCTGGAGGTGTGACTGGGAGTGCTGGAGGTGCTGCTGGTGCTGGAGGTGCTGGACCTACTACTGACCGTCACTGCCTGTCATGGCTACTATCACGGCAGTTGCAGCGGCTAGGGGTGGACAGCGGCGGTCACTGCCTCTCCCCGACGACCCCACCCCTCAGCAGCTTCGCGAGTGAGTTCTTCAGCGAGCCCGTCCAGCTGGTGGAGGCTTTGGTTTTCTGCGTACTGCAAAGAGGCGGCAGCGGACTCAGCAAGAGACCTTCTCCCCGCAGGTGCTTAGTGAGTTGGTTCCTCAGCGATGTGTCACTGGTTCTGTCGAGGCTGCTGCACTAGGTGCTAGTGAGTCTGCTGCCGCACTAGGTGCTAATGAGTCTACTGCCGCTCCAGGTGCTAGTGAGTCTGCTGCAGCTTTAGGTGCTCGTGCGTCTCCCGCCACAGTTCCTGCCTCAGCTGAGGCCTTGCACACTTTCACACAGGACTCAGGTGCATCACGTTGCTTCTTTCGTGACTGCACCGCACTCACACCACTTGCTGCACCGGTATCAATCTCACTGGCTGACCCCACTGGGGGCCCAGTAGTTGCACGAGCCTCCACTGTCCTCCTGTGTCCTGCAGTCCCCTCTGGTTCTCTGTCAGGTCTCCACATCCCCACGTTTTCGATGAACTTGGTGAGCAACGCTGCCATTCAAGATGTCAGGGTTGATACCTTTATTCCTGGAGGGCAGCGTGTGGGGATCTGTACATGCTCCCAGACTGGTCGTCACCTTGCTACGCTCACTCGACGGCCTGGGTCTAGTCTGTACACACTGACCACTGCGTCTGCACAGGTGGCTGAGGCAGGTCAGGTGGCTACGTCGAGTCAGGTGTCTGCGTCTGGTCAGCTTGCAGCGTCTTGCTCGTGTCGGGTACTCTCCCACTAGACTCTCCTCTGGCACCACCGCCTCGGTCACCCCTCCCTGTCGCGTCTCCGCAGCATGCAATCCCGTCTCCTTGTCTTTGGGCTTCCCGGGTCCCTGCCCTCCCTCCCGCGCTCGCCTGCACCGCCCTGCCTTCCCTGCGTCGAGGGGCAGCAGCGCGCCGCTCCTCACTCCTCCGAGTTTCCTCCGACCAGTGCTCCTCTGCAGACTCTCCACATGGACGTGTGGGGCCCGGCCCCCGTCGGTGGAACGGACCAGGAGCGCTACTTCCTGCTGGTTGTTGACGACTATGCACACAACACCACTGTCTTCCCCTTCCAGTGCAAGGCGGACGTCAGAGGTGTTTTGATCCCCAGGATCCGTGCTACTCGTCGCCAGCTGCGCGAGCGGTTTCGTCGGGACTTGCCAGTCCTGCGTCTGCAATCTGACAGGGGCGGTGAGCTCTCTTTTGGCCTCGTTGACGGGTTCTGTCGAGACAAGGGCGTCCGCCAGTCGTTAACGCTTCCGGCCTCTCCTCAGCAAAATGGGATTGGTGAGCGTCGCATTGGCTTGATTATGGAGGTTGCTCGTACCTCCATTATTCATGCGGCTGCTCCCCATTTTCTGTGGCCGTTTGCGGTCCGATACGGTGCGCATCAGCTCAACCTCTGGCCCCGTGTCTCTGAGCCAGAGACCTCTGTCAGAACATACATATAGCTTATGCTGTTGTGTAGGCTATAGTGGGGTATCCCATAGGGGGTACAACCCAATTAGGGTTTCCTATATGTACTCACTTCATTCATAGTTCATCCATTCGCTTTCTCCTTTTCTCATGGAATCAGAGCAGGTCCCCTCCTAGGGACTGTTTCTAGGGCCCACCGAAGCGCGCCCCGAGGCGCGCTTTCTTTTTTTTAGCGACCCTCCGTGTCGCCCCTAGCGGCCCGTTGCGCCGCCCTCACCTACGCGGCCCCACCGCCCTCACGTCGCGGCCCCGCCGCCCTCACGTCGCGGCCTCGCCGCCCTTGCCTACGCGGCCCCGCCGCCCTCACCTGCGCGGCCCCGCCGCCCTCACGTTGCGGCCCCGCCGCCCTCACTTCGCGGCCCCGCCGCCCTCACCTACGCGGCCTCGCCGCCCTTGCCTACGCGGCCCCGCCGCCCTCACCTTCGCGGCCCCGTCGCCCTCACTTCGCGGCCCCGCCGCCCTCACCTACGCGGCCTCGCCGCCCTTGCCTTCGCGGCCTCGCCGCCCTCACGTCGCGGCCTCGCCGCCCTTGCCTACGCGGCCCCGCCGCCCTCACTTCGCGGCCCCGCCGCCCTCACCTACGCGGCCACGCCGCCCTTGCCTTCGCGGCCTCGCCGCCCTCACCTACGCGGCCCCGCCGCCCCACTTCGCGGCCCAGCCGCCTATCCTCACCGGCCCCGCCGCCTACGACCGCCGAGCCGCCCTGCCGCCGAGCCGCCCAGCAGCCGAGCCGCCCGGGAGCCGAGCCGCCCTGCTGCCGAGCCGCCCTGCCGCCGAGTCGCCCGGGAGCCGAGCCGCCGAGCCGCCCTGCCGCCGAGCCGCCCTGCCGCCGAGCCGCCCGGGAGCCGAGCCGCCCAGCAGCCGAGCCGCCGAGCCGCCCAGCCGCCGGGCCGCCCTACTGCCGAGCCGCCCGACCTGCCCTGCCTGGTGAGCACAGCACCACTGTTACTGCGTGCCCCTCCCCTACTGCTTGCACTGCTACACTGTCGTCGTCATGGCTACCCCTAGTGTCCTCGCTTTTGACGCTGAGGGTCGAGCCATTGACTTTGAGGTCTGGGTCGACGACCTGCAGCTGTTCTTAAAGTGCGATAGGACGGACGGTCTTTCCCTCTTTGACCTCACCTCTGGCGCCTCTCCTGCCCCTGCTGCTGATGCTGACCCCACTGTTCGCTCTCAGTGGGCCACCCGCGATGCTGCTGCACGTCTTGCTGTGCGTCGCCACCTGCCTACCACTGAGCGCGCGCACTTTAGTCAGTACAAGAGTGCTCAGACCTTGTACGACGCTGTAGTTGCGCGCTACTCTTCCCCTGCCACTGCTGCCCTGAGCCGCCTCATGCTACCGTACCTCTTTCCTGACCTTGCTGCCTTTCCCACTGTCGCTGACCTCATTACGCACCTCCGCACTAGTGACACTCGCTACCGCGCCGCCCTTCCTGCTGAGTTCTGCGCCAAGAACCCCCCCCCCATGTACATCACTCTCTATTACATAGTCACACGCCTCCCTGACTCCCTTCACGTAGTCAGGGACCACTTCCTCTCAGTCTGTCCCACCACTCTCACTGTCGATCTCCTCGAGAAGTCCCTCCTGGCGGCGGAGAAGAGCATCGTCGCTGTAGGAGCCTCTCGTGGTGACCCTCGCACCCCCATCTTTGAGGGGTGTTCTCCTT